CCGGGCAAACTGGTAAGTCCTTTGTATGCTACAACCGTGTTGAAATCCTGTGGAATCTCACATAAAGTGGTTAGAAAATCATGGTCTGCGACATTTGTCACGAACCCCATAGAAAAATTAAAATCAACTACAGACTGAATGAAATGATGTCGAAGTAATCTAAATGAAATCACACCGAAGTTGTATTAGAAGCTATACGATTTGGCAAAAATGTAAAAGTCATATAAAACTCAAAACCCAATTCGTAATATGTAGCATATCGAATTTCAGAATAAGAACACCAACCAATTGCATCAAAATAATTCATGACAGAATCACGCAAATGCAAGGAATCGAGAGTGTGATCAGGAATATACTTACAGACTTGGAACATACGGTGCCAGATATTGTCGAATCGTCAAGCCTCTTCATCGTCAAAGTTAAGATAACCTTGAAGTACTTCCTCGACTGGTACGGAGTAGGTGCACCCTCTTCGATGATGCTCACGATAATATCCGTGATCCGATACATGATTATAGTGGGTAGGCATCTAGTCATAACTCACGGTAAATTATTGTTAATGTTTTTGCTGGTTGTGATTTCTACTAGAGGAATATGTCGGCTCAGGGCTTGGTTATGGCGGCAGATTCAGAAATCTGAAATCGAAGTTATCTGAAAAACCAAAAATAGGATGCCACATTAGTAGTGGTTCAATATCGACATGAGTAGAATTTACCTCGAGTTGTTCGACTTGTTCAGGTACTGCTGAATGAGTTGAATTAGCGATATCCAACATCGATTGCAAATACATCGCAGATGCCATGAAATAAAATGTAGGAGTGGCAGAAGAGGATGGCTGGTTTTGGCATGATCTGAATGGAATGGTATAACCTTGTGTTGGCACCATAATCGAATGAATAATGAGCTGATGATGACGGTATTGGCTCGGGCGTGAACAAGTGAGCGTGTGGCAGTCACACAAGTTTCCCTCCACATCAAGTAGTTGGTTGAGGAATGAGAGCAGGTTGTGGCAGCGAGTTAGAGCTGCTCGGAATGTCAATCATCAGATAAGCAGTGAAACGGCGTCGACCACTACCAAGGGTGACCTGTGAGCGAGATGGATTGTCCGATTGATTTCTTGTCATCACCATGATTTTTTGATTAGTTAAAGAAGGAAAAAAATAACAGTAGAGGAATGGAGTGCTCGATGACGGTGGAACGGTAAGGGCATATCGGCGCATGGTTAACGGCGACTAGATAAGGCGACGACAATGGTGTTTGGTGGTGGTTAGGTTTCGGCCGATTAATAAAAAAATAAAAATAAAGGTTTAAAAGATTTTGTGGGGTAAAGGAAGAGTTTTGTTTTGTATGGGAATTTGGTGATAAAGGTATGATTTAAATTTAACATTTGAGGTGATAAGGGAGGTTGATTATCAATTCAAAAAGAATTGACTTCTATTGAGTAGATGGTCAGCCGAAAAGAATCGGGGCAAAGAGGTAAGAATGTTGGTGGCAAGGTGACAAAATTTGAGTTTGGGGTACGTTAATGTGCGTCGGTTATAGAGGGTTTGCTAACGCACACCATTAATGAAACGATGTGCATGGTTCTGGGGTAAAATCTCTTTTGTTGTCGCATGAAACCAACTTCAAAATTGGCCAAAATTCTGATCCAATTTGGCCTTAAATTCGACCGAATCCTGCTTCAATTGACACAATTTTTTCGCTTCGGCTTTATCCGATCTTCAATTAAAATTTATGTGGTACCTACAAAATTCAAATCAAGAATTAAAAAATGTAAAATAAACGAACAAATATTGAAAACAAAAAAAGAAAACGAATTAAAAGAAAATGAAATGGGTTGCCTCCCATAAAGCACTATTGTGTAACGTCGTTAGCACGACGACCTGATTATTAAAGCATGGTTCTTCTAAGTCAACAATTATCCCTCTTCTTAGAGTGATGGCGCTCACATTCTCCTGTGGGTTTGCTTTGGTTTGTGAAGGAAGTTTTCCATGCGATTCTAAGCAGCCCACGGTTTGCATCAATTGATAATATGCTTGTCAATTTCATGTAAATGTGACTCCGTGCGATTCTGAAATTTTTCTTGGGATTGCACCAATTGTTCTATGAGTGAACTCTTAGGCGGTTGATATGGTTGCAGTGGAGACAGACTCAATTAGTAAGCTTGATTTGGCCTCTGGTTTTACCCATAGCTAAAATTAGGATGATCTCACCACCTCAGATTGTATGTATTGCTATACGGATTATAGGAGCTTTGGGGAGGTCCCCAAAAATTACTCATGACATTTACTTATGTTCTTGTTTCATCTTGGAGCGTTACATAACAATCGATTGGGTGATCTAACATCATACAAATGTCGCATACTTTGGTTAATCAGTTATTTCCTGCAACAAGGGAATTAACAATATTAGTTAATTTGTCAATTTTATTTTTGAGTGAAACAGTGTTTACCTTGTGAACCCGTCGTTTAGATTCACTCGATGCTCTAAACTGTTGAGAGTTGGTTGTCATTGTCGAAATTAATTCTCTCACTTTGGTGTCATGTTGACAATAGCTCCCCCGCTAGCAGCATAGATCGTTTTCATTTCTATCGGAAGAAAGCCTTCATAAAAATATTGTAGAAGCGTCTGCTCAGACAGTCCATGTTGAGGACAGCTCGTACATAGCTCCTTAAATCGCTCACAGTATTCATAAAGTGATTCATTATGCTTTTGTTTAATTCCAAGGATGCATCGCCTTAGTTCACTCGCCTTAGCTGTTGGGAAAAAAACATGTAAAGAAAAATACCATTTAGTTCAGCCCAATTATTAATCGAATTTAATGGTAAATAAAATAATCACTATTTCTCTATGCCAGATAAAGAAAATGGAAATGCTTGTAATTTAATTTGGTCTTCGGATACTCCCTGAGGTTTCATGCTTGAACAGACCAAATAAAATTCGGCTAAGTGCTTGTGCAGACTTTCGCTTGGAAGGTCGTGAAAGGTCGGAAGTAAATGTATCAAACCTGCCTTGAGTTGAAACGACGTATCGCCTTGAGGAAAGGTGATGCAAAGTGGTTGTTGTATCGCAGGAGCTGTGGCTAGTTTGCGGATGGTTTGATCACCCATTGGTTATGGATGTTCTGCATCGTATGTTGGATTTGCAAAGGATGTTAAATCAACATCAATTGGATTGGTGAACTGCGTGGAATCTGTTGAATCTTCATATTTGGCGTCATTTGTGTCTTCGAAACTTGCTTGTTATTGTCGTTACTTTCTTTTCTCCCGAAGTGTTTTGCTCGCGCTTCGATTTCTAGATCAAATTTTTCTAATGTGTCTAGATTCTTCCTGGTCATAAATCAAAAACAAGAAAATTAAATCTGTAACTTGCCATAGTTCCTGGGAATGACGCCAATTTTAACATGCGCCATTATGATGTCAAAATAATTAGCCTTAATCCCAATAAAATGAATAAGAATAAGTAGAATAGTGAGAGTAAGGGTCGATCCACAGGGACAATGAGTTTGACGATTTCCTCGGTTTTGATATGGCTTTAGGCATAATTTGTAAAAGAAATTAGAGGGGGAATTTGAATAATTAAAGCAAAGTAATAAAATTTATTGAAATAAAATAAAATAGTAAATAAAGGAAATTTAATTGGTAAAAATTAGTATAGGGATAAAGCTTTTGCCTCGATTTAAATCGAGTCATTGCTCTAGCCCTTGGCTATAGAAAACTTATCTAAGTATGGTAGAAACCATACTTAGCATTTTGAAATAAAAATAAAGTAATTTGAGAAGTAAAAAGAAAGAAAAACTTTTATAAATCTAAAGGAATAAAGAAACAAGAGTTGAATGAATTCTGAATGAAAATCGATGCTTAGAGGCTTACTCCAATAGGGTATTTATAGTCTTCAAAAAAATTATAAAATAATATTCAAAACAAAAAATAATTCCTAAAAATAAAAATAAGATAAATCCTAATTTAGAATTAAAATTCAGCTAAGTATCTTTCTCCACTTTCTCCACGCCACTGCTGATTAGATCTTCTAGAAGTTGCTGACTGGGCCTTTTAGAAGCTATTGACTGGGCACCACGTCAGCTACCATGTCATCGCCACATTAGCTGCCACATCATTTCCATGTCAGTGCCATGTCAGCTATCACATCATTTCCACGTCATCGCCACATCAACTATCATATCAGTCCCTGACTAGATGTCATGTCGGTGTGTCATGTCCCAAGTCGTGCCCACTAATTAAGCCACAAATTCAGAAAAATAAAAAATTGCACGATTTTGTTGTTCTTAGCATAATTTCTAGAATTCAATGTCCTACATAAAAAATGAATGAAAATGCCTAAGTTAGCAACTAAAATTATCTAATCAGTAAGTAATTAATCGTAAAATAATATATAATTTAAGCACTAATCACAAATCTATGGTCATAACTAAGGTGAATAAGCATCATTAAAATTTTAAACTCATAGAAATGTCTTCAAAAACCTAGGAGATGTATTCACTAGCATCTATCTAACCAATTATTATTAGGACCGAAGTAGCTAAAACTCTGATACCATTAAATATAACACCTAAAACTCAATCACCAATAGATGGAATCTAAGATGTTGCATTAGGCTAATGAAGCAACCATTAAATTTAAAATATTTTTGTTTCCAATATAAAATTAAGATATAAATATACTGAAAATGTGATGAAACATTTATACAAAATCATACCTTCGTGATAGTTTAATACATAATATTTAGAAACTAATAATAAAAACAGTTAAGGGTATGTATTTGATTTGATGAAAAGAAAGAACAGGGGAAACTGTTTTTTTAGATAGTTGTCGGGCTTGGTTTTAACAGTTGAGACGAAATTTTAATATTTCCAAAACATCATTATCATTGCTTCATTGTAGATTTAAAAAAGAAAAAGAAACCTTGCATGAAACTGCAGAAACAGGCAAATTCTGATAACATTAGAACTGTAAAATTAAATATTATATTCTCTGCAATGTAAAAGTGATAAACAGGAAGGAGGAGGAAACATAAACCAGCTGAGCTCAAATTTTCTAGCTACAAATGCTAAAAAGCTTCAAGCTGGTCCCTTGAAACCTATGTATATGTGTATACATATAATAAACTAACCCAAAAAGATAAAGTTCCAGGAGAATCCGGGGATCTGTGCTGTGAATCATCCCTCTGGTAAAAATCTCCTTTTTAGAACTTAATTTATGTCTAATTAAGCTTGATTGATCAGGGACTTTGAGTCGATAAAAGTTCCATGAAAGCCGTAAGGAACTCTCGAAGGTAACTTAATCGAAGCTTCGACCTGTAAATTCATGGCGTTCACAATACAGAGCTCCGATTTACATGTCTTTTCATCGTGAACAAAGGAAAGAATGTACCCATCGCATTCAGCTGTTTCGGAACCGTCTTCTCGAGGCAAGAAAAATGGTTCCCCGCCGTATTTTTTGTCGCCGTACATGTGTTTTTTTACCTCCCCGGTGAAAAGATCGACCTTGGCAAATCCCGAAACTTTCGGCCATGGTTCGGCAATGGCGAGATAAGCGTACCTTGTCTTCCTCCCAAGTCGGTTCTTGTTCACCATCCCGGCTTCCAAGTTCACTTGATTGGATTCCCAGATTATGGGGCGGCGCGTGGACTCACCTGTCTTTAAGTTAAGCCTGATTTCCGAGAGCACACTCTTTAAACTCTCGTTGCTTTCGTTGAAAATAGAGTCGGGTGGTGTCATGCAAGAACCGATCACCACGACTTCATCGGATTCCGGCTCTTCCCAAGCGTTCCACAGATGGAAACAGAAGGTATCATCGGATTCGACCCATTTGATATCATTAGCATCGCTCGCATTTTTCGAGAGAATCCCGAACCGACACTTCTTGTCCTTGTCGTAAATAACGGGAGAGCCGCCGGTTATCATTTCTTGTAGCTTGAACACCACTTGTTGATCGGGGATCACCACGAAATTCTCGGTGATGGCGAAATCATGCATCATAGTTGGCACCGGTAAAGGAATCTCGACGTCGGGTGACTTGGTACCGTCGGGTGAAAACTTGAAATACTTCAAGTAAGGCTTTTGGACGACATCGTAACTCAAAGCAAAGAGTTCCTTGGAACAAGGGTCTATTTTGGGATGTGCAATCATTGTTGATTTGAGTTGATCATCAAAATTGTATCTTCCGACGGTTTCTAAATCACCCAACGGAGTGATCCGAACGTGGTAAGGAAGATCATCCTCGGACATAGCGAGCAGCCGGTTGTTAAAATAGACTAAACCAGCATTAGCAACACCGGTGCCTTGCTTGTGATCGACGAGGCCAAAAACGCCTCTCGCGTAAAAAAGTAAAAGCCTCGCAACCCCCGAGTGACCGTGTAGTTCACCGATTGCTTTAGGGAAAACAGGACGACCTAATTCCCTTTCTTGTTTTAACCTTTGCGTTTCAGTAAACCGACAAGCGTAGCTAGCTTTTCCATTATCGATGGTGACGGCATGTATCATGCCATCACCATCGAACAAGTGATGTCCAGCGACCGGCTCGAACAAAGGGTTGGCGCCGTTACGGAGGTAAACACCGTTGATGCAAGAAGGGATAGTTCCGGTGAGGGGAAGAGATCGCTTCACGGGTTGTTCGGGTACCGGAGCGAAGTTTCCTGCGATTTGCACGCGTGGGTCAGCCGTTTTAGGAAGTGGGTGTTGAAGCTCGAGTGATAGCAAGGCGTTTTCAGCCATGTCAAGCGCCATGGAAGCAGCTTTCTGAAGGAAGTTCCCCTTCGGCTGCTGTTGTTCGGCCTGGTGGAGGGTTGTTTCATACGTTGGTTTTGGGAAGTGGAGAACCGAAGGAGAGTGCAAAGTTGAATGAATCGTATTGCTTCGTCTTGGAAGAGTATGTGGAATCTGGGTTTTTACCCAACTACATGTAGAGGAAGACATTAGAGATTTTTCACAAGGGAAGATCAATTGTGTTTTTGTGCTTTGGTAAAGGTTTCTGCTTATTTTGTGCTTTGTTTGTTGGGTTTAGGAAAGAGAGCTTAGAGGAAGAGTGGGAGTTGGAGATAAAAAAAGTGAATGGGGGTATAAATAGAGTTTGTAATTGGAGTTGACTAGACAGAATAAGTTTTGTAAAATTGTAAGGGAGTCCACGTCAGACATTGAAGGGTGACGTGGTTGTTGGAGTTCGTATAAGGAACTTGGTGATTGTTGATTTGTCAAATTATTGAAGAGAGCAGTGGGGTGAGAAATTATTTCATGGTCTTGGTTCACCTAGTCCTTCATTTACGGTTTCAGTTAATCACATTATTATTTTAAAATAATTTTTAAATAACTATTCACTCTTTATTTATATATAAAAAAGAGATGAATATTTATTTTTAAAAATAGATAAAAAATTATTATTAATTAGGACTATAGATAATGTGGTGAACGGCTACATCTAATTTTTTTTTCCGTGGGGAGATGGGCCTCAAATGGAAAAAAGTGCCCTACTCCCATGTAATTTGGCTGACAATTGAGGCATAATTGGATGGTAGAGGGTCCCAAAATTAGGGACCAAAAAGACTGAGATTTATGGAGTCGGAAATACACTTAGGTGGCGTTTGGTTCGCTGTAATATTTTTGAGGAAATTGAAATATTTCTGAGGAAATTGGAATCTGTGAAGGAATTAGAATATAAATCTGAAACAAGTTTGGTTGGCAGGAAATTGAATTGGAATCCAATTTCATATTCTGTTTGGTTCGCAGACATGTCAGATGAATTTGATTTCAGTAATGTAAAATGACAGAATTGTCCTTCTTTTTTATTGCTTAATTTTAGTTTGTTTTATAACTTACATGTAGCAATATATTATAAAAATTTTAAAAATAAAAAATATTAAATTTTCATTTTATTGATTGATTATTCATTTCAATAAATTATAAAAATCATACTAATAAATATAATAAGTTAAAATTATCCCAATTAGGGATGGCCATGGGTCAGGTTGGGTCGGGTTTTTGGTCCACGCGACCCTACCCGAGAACAAGGGAACCTCCACCTGAGACCCGACCCAACCAAAATAAAGTTTCACCCGACCCGACCCTACCCGAATATATGAATTAGAAACCCGACCCAACCCGAAATAATAAAAAAATTATTTTTATTCAATAAAAACAATGACTTAATTGAAAAAATTATATATAGAGAGGTATTATTGTAATTATTCCTAAATATATCAGGTAAAATTATATATTTTTTCGGGTCGGGTCGGGTCGAGTATTTTTCACCCTAAATCCAAACCCGGCCCTAATATCACACTTAAAAAACCCGACCCGAATATCACACTTAAAAAAACCCAACCCGAACCCGAAATTTTTAAAAAAATCAGACCTGATCCCGAAATTTTTTGAAAAAAACACCCGACCCAAATATCACACTTACAAAAACCCGACCCGGCCCGAATATCAAACTTTAAAAAACCCGACCCGAACCCGAAATTTTTTTAAAAAAACTGACCGATCCCGAAATTTTTTAAAAAAAATCCGACCCAAATACCAAAAGATTGATGAGGGTAGTATGGTCAAATTTCACATTCTCTATTCCAAAGGATTTCAATTCCATCATGTTATAGATGAAATTTACTTTCTCTCCTTTGATGGAATTGGATTCCAATTCCCTCTTTGAAAACTTGAACCAAACATGGGAAAGTAGAGGAATTGGATCAATTCCCCCTAATTCCAAGGGATTCCAGCGAACCAGAGACTAAGAAATCAAGGGTAAACTAATTATTTGACACAACTTATTTTTGTACTTTTGTTTTCGTTATCCAAGTATTACATAATTTAATTTTGATTTGTTAAGAGTCTTTCTTTCTCAGTTTTCTCCATGGGAAACTAGGCCAATAAGTTAAAAGAAGGGAATGAGATTTAATATACATGAAGATGGGTGTTGATAATGATCAAAATTTGGAAGAGGGGACTCGGGTTATTTAAACTACATGGTATGAAATTAGATCATTTAATATACATGCCATAAAATTGAATAAATTTATTGAATTACTTCGAATTAGGACCAAAAAAATTAGAATGTATAAGTTTTAGGGATTAAAATTATTATTATATCCAGTCATGTCACTATCTTCATTAATTCAAAGGTTAAAATTAACGATAAATAATTAAGGGTAAATTATACCGTCCTTCATTAAACTTTACTCTCTCTCCTATTTTGCTCACCGTACTTTCAATTTTTCTATTTTGCTCATTGAACTTTACAGATTGAATCGTTTTGCTCGCTATGTCGTTAACTCTCTAACGGTTTGATGATGTGTCATTTTTTTATTATTATTTAATCGTCAATTACACCGTTCCTCACCGAACTTTACTCTCCCTCCTATTTTACTCATCAAACTATAAAATAAAAACAAAAGATGGTCAGATACCACCGTTAACAGACGTTAATGCTGGTCGTTCAATCTCAAAATTCATGGGTTCATTCTTCTCGACCCCTAAGCTCGAATCTGGTGGTTGCTTCACCGGAAAATGTCTCAAAATCCATGAATCTTGACTAAAACATTTCGACTTCCTCACTTTCAATCTTCAATTTGTGGACTTTGAAGTAAGTTTCGACAAAATAGAGGTTGGATTCGGACTCAAGGTGTCAAGGCGAAGCAACCCATGAAATTTGGGATCGAACGAACACCATCTACCACGTTCGACGGTGGCCGACGATGGCATCCGACCACCTTCTATTTTTTATTTTATAGTTGGGTGAGCAAAATAGGAGAGAGAGTAAAGTTCAGTGAGAAACGGTGTAATATACACTTTATATTTTCAATTATTTATATTAAATAATAATAATAAACGACACGTCACGCCGTTTAAAAGTTAACGGCAGAATGAGCAAAATAATTCAATCTGTAAAGTTCAGTGAACAAAATAGAAAAATTGAAAGTACAATGAGCAAAATAAGAGAAAGAGTAAATCTCAATGAGACACGGTGTAATTTACCCAATAATTAAAATAGAATTAAAATATAATATTATATATATTTTTATTAAAATAATAATTAAATGATAAAAAAAACATGAAAATAAATATAATATCAGATGTCCCCGAAGGGAGGAAAATAAATATAATATTAAATAAGCAATTTACCTAAAAATCAAATAGCTCTACGGTTGAAGCTAAGCCTTTCCCACATTTTTAATTTTCATTTTTTTTCCGATATATGAAAAAAGTGCAACTCCGCGTTCGGCCCTCTTCTCGAAGCTACATCGACTGAGCACTCCACCGACGCGCCTTTTTCTTTCCACCGGTTTTCGACCATTAGCGACTGTTAATCACCACACATTAAGATTTGTATAACAATTAATATTTCATGTTACAAAATTCGGTAGAATAATAAAAAAATTAATAAATTTAAGAAAATAAATAGATTGAACACATGTTTTACGTAAAAAAAAACTTTATAAAAAATCATAAACAAATAAAAAGAAATTCATTATTATTGTTACTATCGTACATGAGAAATATAAACTTATATACAATCATTAAAGAAAATTCTGAATATATATATGCACACGAACTGAATTGGATGACCTGATTACTATCACGGGGATTACACGTCTACACCTCTGTCGAGGTCTGTGATTGATTCAGATCGAATCAAACGAAATTCAAGCAATAATCTCTAACTTATACACCATAATATATAATTTTACGCATGGTCAATAATTCATATAATACCACACTATTCAATTTCATAATTAAATTACACTCTTCCTTTTGTCCCTTTCTTTGCTTCTCAAGTCCTAATCTTTCACTCGCATATAATCAGAATTTTCAATTAACTTAGATATTTTTTTAAGATCCAAATTCGTATATCTTAAAATTTTATAAATTCACTAACTGAATTTTTAATATACTTATTAAAAATTCGCACTCGTAACATAAAATTTTATGTGGTCCTTAATATCTTTCACATAATTTATAAGTAATTATTCAAAATGCTTTTTTCTGAAAATAAAAAATAAAAACTAATGAAAGCTAAAGTTAGGTGAGTTTAATCAATATAGAACATTTTGTACATCTGTTAAGATTGTCATGTTTCGATAGCAAATCTCTTACATCAAAGATTTGATCCTTCCCCAGACTAATTAAAAGAGATCTGCCTTGTCTCTCTCATCTCTTTGATGTTTTATCACTTCACGACGACGACGATAATGTACCTTTCAATTCTTCGATAATTAAATTATTGATACAAATTTAAAACTTTAGTTTAATTATTTTATATAATTAACATCAAATAAATTCAAATTTTAATATTATAATATGCATCGTATCATATAGTACAACATTTTTTTGTCAAACCCAAAAAAAAATAAAAATTTCAAGTTAGACCATGTCAGACTCTTGATCCAATATTTTATTCATAAATTATAGAATTTGATTGATTAATGTGTTATATCTATAAATAAAATAAGCATGGTTAGGCACTTAGGCTCCTGGTTTATCTAATGTCATGGATGACTCTAAAACCAACCTTATCAGTGGATGAATTAGTACTTTATCATAATGAATAAAGCAAGATAGACATAACGATGTTCTTTTTTTTCCGTCTTCTTTCTTTTTTCTTATTTTCAGAACCACATATTTATACTGATACATATATTTATATTAAGAATAAGTGTTTAATCAAACCAAATTAAGTGACAGAAATTATTTTAATTTAATTAATTAGTCATATTTTATTACTATAATTTTATTTAAAAATTTTATCAAGTTATTTTCTTTTGTAACAAAAACAATTATCAAGTTAAATTACAAAATTCGGGTACAGATGAAACATATGTATATTTATATGAATTAAATTTAGAAATTAATAGGTCAAAATGTCAAATTAAAACATTGAGGATAATTTAACTAAATTTAAGTTAAATCAAATAAACTGGATCTATATAAAAACCTTTTTCAAAACGAAATAAGAGAAAAAAAATGAGAGATTTTAGTATGATAAACTAAGCAAATTATCTCTCGGCATATTTTTTCCTGAAATATCCGAT